GGCGGCCGGGCGGTGGCGCGCGGAGGACGCACGGGCGGCGGGACGCAGGGACTGCGGCTGCCGGAGCGCGCGAGGCGAGTAGGACCCGAGGCTGGGTCGGGGTTCGAGTCCGGTTCGGGGTTCGAGCGTGGTCCCCACCCCACCCACCCCCAATCCCGGGGCGCGACCTCGCCGTTCTCTACGAGCCGCTGCCTCCAACTCCACCGTCTAGGTCCAAACTTTCCGGACTTTCAGTGTCTCGTTCCCCGTGTCTCTGTCCCTCCCTCCCCCGTCTTTGACCCCGTCCCTACTTCTCCACCCCCCCGCGGCCCCATCCTCCTCCATCTGTACTTCTCGCCCTGCCCCTTTCCCGCATCATTGCCCTCCCTCTGCCTCTTTCCCCCACCTCGGTCCTCCTCTCTACCTCTCTACCCCCGCTCTGCCCCCCCTCGCCCTCCTCCGTGGCCGAGCCGAGCCAGGCCCCAGACGGCGGGAAGGCGTCCGGGCGTCCGGGCGTCCGGCCGGGCTGGGCCTCGGCCTGGCGGTTGGGCCGGCACGGGGAGCGGCAGCTGTTTGCCATTAGCCGGGGACCCCGCAGGCCCCGCCCCCTCCCTGCACGGGGCGGGGTCACCCTTGCCCCCATCTTTGGGGCGGGGAGACCCCAGAGATGTCCGGGTTTGGGTTGGCAGGGGGGCTTCAGGGAGACCCCGCCGGACATTCGGGCCGGCCCGGGACCCCGCGCCCCCTTACCTGTCCCCTCTGGGAGCGTCTCGCCTCCCTTTTTCTCCATCTCTCTCCTACCCGGTGTTTCCTTTTCTGTACCCCAGGGGTCCCATACAGGGAGAGGGGCTTCAGCCACCACACTCCTCACCTCCATCTGCTTTCTAGACCTGGAGTCATCTTCGCACATAGAGGGTGGTCAGATGACTGGACTCTCTCAGACCTCAGTCTCTGTGTCTGGGAAATGGGCAGAGGGATGTGGAGTTGGGGGTGAGGGTGGTGTGGCCCTGGCAGTGGGGAATCTGCCAGGCTTAGGTTCAAGTCCACACCCGGCCTCTTCTTCCTCTCGTGACCCTGGGCAAGTCATTGGACATTTCTCTGTCTCCAAAACAGGGCAGTAACCGTGCGCCTGATGGGAATGTTGTGATCAAATGAGCGGCTGGGGTGATTATTACACTTACCACCATTATTCGCCCCACCGCTTTTCACCTCCAGGGGCCCCCACAGGCTATTCCAATTCTGCTTCCTGCCACCAGTCTCTCTCAGGTCTCCAGAAAATACTTTTGATTACCTCCCTGTTGTGTAGAGGGTGAACCTCCAAGCAGATGGAAAACCGAACTTCATACAATTGGTGACTGTGCTCCAGGCGTTGAAAGACAGAGACGTGGAGAGAGAGGGAGAGAGAAGTGGATCGAGACACAGACGGATGTGGAGAGACTCGGAGAGACGTGGAGAGACTAAGCAAGAGGCAAGCAGGTTGTGAGAAGAGGACAAGCTTGGCCACCCCTGGAGCCCCAGCCTCGCCTTCATGCCCGGCAGGTGCCCCGCTTGGCCCATCCTCCCAGGTACCCACTGCCCTGGCACCCATAGGCCAGAAAGGGTCCTCCTTGGTGGGATGGGATGGGGCCTCTGGAGCAGGGTGGCTAGAAGTCAGACAGCAGAAAGGACTGGCCAAGCTCAGGCTGAGTGGTGGGGACAAAAGGGTCCTGGCTGGCCTCCAGGGCTGAGGAGGGGTTAGTGAGAGGCTTTGATTGTCCCTCCCTTTTGCAGCCTCCAGGCACCCTCTCTTACTTCCTCCCCCCCCCCCACCCCCATGACTTCCCTGGCCACCACGCGGCCTTCTATCCCTGCTGCGCCCCTGAGCCGGACACATCCTGGGGGGGCAGGAAGTTCTCGTGTAGCCCGGCAGCAAAACTGTTTATTTTTAGAGAAAATTGTTTCCATAAAGAGGAAAGGCTTTGCTCCTCACTGCCTCCCCTCAACTTTCCCTACCCCCCCACTCTGGCTAGCCTGACCCCGCTCTGCTTTGGGGTCCCCTACCCTGAGCTCCATCTCTCCTTGTGCCTGTGTCTCCATGTTCTCGGATCTTTGCAGGAAGACTGTCCCCCACTTAGTGCCCCAGCCCCCTGCCCACCTCAGCCCCAATCTGTCCCTGTAGCCAGCTTCTGGCCTGGGCTGAGAGGAGGGGTGCAGGAAGGGTGGGGCCTGTCGGGCTTGGGGCCCCCCGGCCCAGGGCCTTGTGGAGGCGGGGCTGTGGGAGCAGCTGGAGCCTGTCCAGGGGCTGGACAGATGTGCAGGCGGGCCGTGAGGTTTGGTTTCTTTGTTCCAGGCCTCGGGGGCCCTCCCCCCCCACCCCTTTCCACAAGCTAGGCCGGGTGTATTCCTATAAGAGGGTCCCGGACTCGGGGAAGGTGGGGGGGTTGGGAGGGGGACAGTTGTGGGGGAGGGGTGGCCACATCCCCTCCCCCTGCAGAACTCCTCCTGACTCCAGGCTCCAATATCCTCTCTCCCCAGGTACGCCTCAGCCTGTGCTGCAGGTGATCTGAGTCATAGGCCCCAGGTGACTCTTGAGGAGCATCTGCAGACCAGAGGATGGCCCAAGTCCTGCACGTGCCAGCCCCCTTCCCAGGTCAGGGGTCTCAGGAAGAAGGGGCCCTGCCTTGGGGTCTGGGAGAAAGATATGGCCCCGCCTCAGGGGTAGAGGCCAGGGAGGAGGAGGTGTGGGGGGGGTTGTTGAGGGTAGAATACAGCCCTGCCCGGAGGGCCTGAATGAGGACCTTTTGGCTCTGCCCTGGAGGGTCTGATGGGGGAGACAGTCTTTCAGGGAAAGGGGCTGGTCTGAGTAGAGACACAGGTCCCTGTGCTGGGGGTGTTGAGGGAGTAGGCACAGGCCTGCCCTGAGGGTTTCTGAGGGGGGGACAGGGCCTTGCCTTGAGACTGGAGTCACGGTTGAGCACCCAGTGGGCTCCCATCCCTTGGGCAAACAAACCTTGACTCTCCCAGGGATGTGAGTCTTCACCCTGAGGAGGGGACAGCAGTGTTCAGAGGCCCTGGTCTTTCTTCACACCCCAGGGACCCCTGGCCCAGCCTCCCCACCCGCCTTCCCTGCCAGGGAGCCTGACCCGCCGTACTCCGTGGAGACGCCCTACGGCTACCGCCTCGACCTGGACTTTCTCAAGTACGTGGATGACATCGAGAAAGGCCACACGCTCCGGCGAGTCGCCGTGCAGCGCCGGCCGCGCCTCGGCTCACTGCCCCGAGGTCCTGGCTCCTGGTGGACATCCACCGAGTCTCTGTGCTCTAATGCCAGTGGGGACAGCCGCCACTCGGCCTATTCCTACTGTGGCCGTGGCTTCTACCCGCAGTACGGTGCCCTGGAGACCCGAGCCGGCTTCAACCCGCGCGTGGAGCGCACGCTGCTGGATGCCCGTCGCCGCCTGGAGGACCAGGCGGCTGCGCCCACTGGCTTGGGCTCCCTGACCCCCAGCGCGGCAGGCTCCACCAGCTCCTTGGTGGGCGTGGGGCTGCCACCCCCGACGCCACGGGGCTCGGGACTGTCCACACCTGTGCCTCCCAGCGCCGGGCACCTGGCCCACGTGCGGGAACAGATGGCAGGTGCCCTGCGGAAGCTGCGGCAGCTGGAGGAGCAGGTGAAGCTGATCCCCGTGCTCCAGGTGAAGCTCTCTGTGCTGCAGGAGGAGAAACGGCAGCTCACAGTGCAGCTCAAGAGCCAGAAATTCCTGGGCCATCCCACAGGGGCCCGGGGCCGAAGCGAGCTCTGCCTGGACCTCCCAGAGACCCCCGAGGACCCGGTGACTCTCGAGACCCGGAGCGTGGGCACCTGGGTCCGGGAGCGGGACTTGGGGGTGCCCGACGGGGAAGCAGCCCTTGCCGCTCAGGTCGCCATGCTGGAGACCCAGCTCAAGAAAACCCTCCGGGAGCTGCAGGCAGCTCAGGCCCGGCAGGCTGACCCCCCGCCCCGGCCCCGGCCACCACCAGACAGCCCCATCCGCGTGGACACTGTCCGGGTGGTAGAGGGCCCTCGGGAGGTGGAGGTGGTGGCCAGTACAGCTGCTGGGGCCCCTGCACAGCGGGCCCAGAGTCTGGAGCCCTATGGGACAGGGCTGCGGTCCCTGGCGACGTCTGGAAGGGTCGAGAGCCCTGCTGTGTTCCGCAGCCATGAGGTGGTAGAGACAGCGTTCCCAGCATCCACTGCGCCCACTGGCAACGTCCACCTGGTGAAAAAGATCAGCATCACGGAACGAAGCTGCGATGGGACAACAGGTGAGCCATAGTGGACAGGGGAGGATGGTGGAGAGGTCCTCTTTGTTCCTCTGAATGCCAGGGTGTAGCCCCAGCCCTGGCCTTCCAGCAGACCAACCACTCTGGCTCTCAGAGCCTCTCGTCTCTTCACCTGCAAAAAAGGGGACAGTTGTACCACTGATTCTGTGCTGTAGGGAGGCATGCAGAAAAATCAGGTATCTGATTAAGTGTGCGTTTTCATATCTAGTATGTGGTAAGTATCCAGAAAACAGGAGGTTTTTGAGGGTTTGAGGGAGGGTCCCTAAGACTGTTGGTTCGTTGGGCCAAAAAACCCACCCAATTTATTCAGGAAATGGCAGAAACCAACATCAGAGCAGTTTAGGCGAGGAAAAGGAAACGTATTGTTCATGTAACTTAGGCACAACTTTAGGTATAGCTGGATCTAGGTGCTCCAATATCATCAAGGATCTCTGACTTCTGTGCGCCTTGGAGTTGTCTTTCTCAGGTGAGTGAAAGTGGTCCCACCGCTCCAGACATCTGTCCTTCCATCTCAGTGGAAAGGGAGCCTCTCAGTCCAAATAGTGCCCATAAAAAACTCCCAGGGGTACCCCTCATTGGCCGGTGGCAGTCACGTACCCATCACAGAGCCAATCACGGGGTCCCTCACTGCCCGACTCCAGATCCTGGGGGTAGAGGAGCCCCACCCAAGTCCGGTGGCCTTTGAGGGAACAGAGAGGTGTCCCCCTGGCAGAAGTGCTGAGTCTGTATGCCAGGAAAGAGGATGTGGGATCTGCAAAATGACAGTTGCCCCACCGCTGCTACCCTTGGGCTCCTGGGAGAAGCTGTCGGAATGATTCACGTAATGACGGTTGTTCTTTTTTTTTTTTAAAGATTTTATTTACTTATTTGACAGAGAGAGAGAGAGTGAGAGCAGGAACACAAGCAGGGGGAGCGAGGGAGAGGGAGAAGCAGGCTCCCCGCTGAGCAGGGAGCCCAATGTGGGGCTCGATCCCAGGACCCCAGGATCATGACCTGAGCCGAAGGCAGCCGCTTAACCGACTGAGCCACCCCGGCGCCCCTAATGACAGTTGTTCTTTATCAAGCGCTAGCCTAGTGCCAGGTGCTACGCTAAGGGTTTCACTCGTGGAATGCTAAAGAGTATGGAGCTTTATAATCAAGCCACGTGGGTTCAAGTTCTACATCTTGATGTAGCCCTAGAGGGACTTCACGTCTCTGAGCCTCAGCTTCCCTATCTGTAAGTGGCATAGCGATAGTCCCCCCCGCCTCTAGGACTCGTGTGAATTAATGCGCACAGTGAACCCTCAATCCCTGCTTGTTGCTGCTTTTGATAATTTTCAGGCCAATTCTGCTTATAGCTGGGGATACTGAGGCTCAGGGAAAAGTTGTACTGGCCCTGGGTCACAGCCAGGAGGTGGCTGAGCCAGGATCTAGACCAAGGTCAGCCTGAACCTACAGAGGGCTCAAAGGTGCAGCTCAGGCCCTCAACCCAGTCTCGAATGTCAGAGCCCCATGGTGGGACCCGAGAGCACAAGCTGGAGGGTGGGGACCCAGCTGTGTTTTCTCGCTTTTCCGTGTTGTTCCTGGCCAGCTCCGGACACCACTCCTCTGTTCTGTGTCCATCACAAACTCCCGGCCCTTTGACTCTGGCCCCCAGCCAAGGGCCCTGCCCGGCTCAGCCTTGGGATTTCTGAGAGGCAGCCTTCATTCCAGACATGCCACCTAGGGCGGCCATGGGGCTGCCTGCCTGTGGGACACACAGACATAGTGATGTTCCCACTCTGTGCAGGCTGCTGCCCCCCCGAGTTCTTCCTTGTGTCTCACTTAATTCCTTCTTGCTGCAGCCAGCCCCAGTCTCGGCTCTGCTTGGGCAGAACTGGAGTGTGCCAGTTCATTTTAGTGTTTTTTCATTCAGCATACTTTTACTGAATGTCTGCTATGTGCCAGACTCTTCTAGGCACTGGGGACGCAGCTGTGAACAAGATAGACAGAGTCCGTGCCATAAACACGTGAAGCCCCATAATAAGTGAAGAAATACCGTTTCAGAGAATACGTGTTTGAAGCAGATAAAACAGGGGCATGGGGCAGGCAGCAATTGGATGGGGTGGTGGGTCTGGGTTCCAATTCTGATTTCGCTGTTTCCTAGTTCTGTGCCCTTGAGCCAGTTACTTGACCTCTGTGTGCCTCATTTGCAAATCGGGGGTCCTGACAGCCCAGTGTCACCAGATCAGTGTGAGGTTTAATGCGTCAGTTTCTATCGAGTGTTCCGTGTGGCGTCAGGCTGTTGGCTCTGTGAACCAAAACGTGAAAGAGAAGAGGCAGGCAGGTGGCACAGAGGTGGGAAGAAGAGTGTTCACAGCAGGGACAAAGGTCCCGAAGTGAGGAGTTGCCTTGCGCACATCAAGGTGTGGAACCAGCTGGAATAGGATGAGGCCGGAGAAGCAAGGTCTAGAGGTAGCAGGGCATCAGAGGTGGGTCCTGTAGGGCTTGTAGACTGGGGAGAAGCACTGTGAAAAATGAAATTAGAGAGTACAGAACTTGACAAGCGTTCCAACCATGTATTCAGGTCAGCCAGCTTGATGGGTGGATCTGGGAGTACTCCCTGGAGGAGGCGGCGGCAAGGAGGACTTCTCTGCCATCTAGAATTCCCTCACTGCAGCCGAAGGGCAGGGAGGGTGAGAAGCAGCCTTCCCCTCAGGCTGACGAGGGTGGGTGGGGCAGGCAGAGGCCTGGACACCTCACCAGGCCCCCCCACCCTCACCGCCCACCTTCCAAAGGCACCGCCTCAGCGGTTTGACTGGGAGAAGGGGCAGCTGGGCATGTACATCCGTGGGGGCTCCAGGGCTTTGAAATGTCCTCTGCTCCCTTTCGAAACATATTCCTCTGACAGCAATTCATATTCTTTGTGGAAAATTTGGGAAGTAACAGAAAAATCTGGAATACAAAGCAAAACCCCAGTAAACCCATCACCGCCCAGACCCAGCTGTTGTCAGCACTTCTTCTTTCCTTCCGAAATTTTTAATGCAGAAAATAATACGTATTTTTCAAGCCTGGCAACAGGGAACTGATGCTGATGGAAAGCATTGTTTTGCATTACTTGACTTTGAAAAGCAGTTAGGCAGCCTCACCAAGGGGCCAGGGCATTTTTAGACGCTCTTTTCATATTTTAACTCACCTCCCCAAGCCACCTGGATGCGGATGCGGCGGGCAGTGTTTTCATCCCCATTTTACAGATGAGGAAACGGAGGCCTAGGGTGGTTGCCCACTGTTCCTGAGGCCAGGATTCAAACTACGCCTTTGGTTTCTTGGATTTAACATGATCCCAGAGGCATTTCTTCTCGTCATTAAAAATTCCTGGGATGCCGTATTTACTGAACAGCCACGTCGGTCTCTGCTGTCATCCGTGCCACGCGGACTTCCTCCTGCAGAAACCCCTCACGTCTTCTGTTTTCTCAGGACACGTTTCTGGAAAACCATTTTTTTTTAAGGTTTTATTTATTTATTTGACAGTGAGAGAGCACAAGCAGGGGAGAGGGGCAGAGGGAGAGGGAGAAGCAGGCTCCCCCGTTGAGCAGCAGGGAGCCCGATGTGGGGCTTGATCCCAGGACCCCGGGATCATGACCTGAGCCAAAGGCAGATGCTTCACCAACTGAGCCACCCAGGCGCCCCTGGAAGACCATTTTTGAGGCCCATGACGTCTGTTGCCAACTTGCTTTATTCCCCTGTGGCCTCACTCCCTTCCCACACTGGGTGGCTGAGTGGTTTACATTTTTAAAAATGTCTTTTGGTGGGGCGCCTGGGTGGCTCAGTCGTTGGGCGTCTGCCTTCGGCTCAGGTCGTGATCCCAGGGCTCTGGGATCCAGCCCCGCATCGGGTTCCCTGCTCGGCGGGAAGCCTGCTTCTCCCTCTCCCAC